TTTTTTTTTTTTTTAGCTTTGCTTTTTCTCGTTCCGGCATCCGTAAAAGATTCCGTCGAGTATAATATGCAGGGAACGGGACGAGAATCGTCCTGGTCGTCGTTTGGTTTCGTCTTCACGGACCACCTCGTCCACTCGTTGGTCCGTAAAATTGAAGGGTAAGATTATTTCTTATCTCCCTTCTCTCTCTCTCTCTCGTTCGTCCTCCCTCTTCGCTTTTTCTCCTCGTCCTCTTTGTTTCCTACCTCCGTGGAAGAATTGCGGGGAACAACTCGAAGGACTAATAAGAAACCGAAGGGTGGAGGCTCCTCCGCTGCGGTGCACTTATGGGAACTCTCGAAATCGGGGAGGAGCACGAGGAACGAGCTCTCCTCCAAACGATCTCTGAAAATTAATCTTCGAGGTTCATTTCTTTTCTACGATCCTTTCGACTATCGTTCGATCCTCGAAAAATCGAGAACGAGACGTGTTTTCGCACGGGCGTGTGTTTCGGTCCATTCGCGATTACTTTCGCGAATCGTACGCCTCCTCGTCATTTCTGGAACTCGGCTGCAACTCGGTATCAGTGATTTGCATAGTTGCGCTCTTCTCTACACAGACATATGTTATCGAGGTTATCGTAGGAATAGGGCTGTGGATGGTGGTCGTGGGTTAGGATCGAATTTAAAAATTAAAAAGGTCACGCGCTGGGTACCGTGCACCGCACGGTGCATTAAGAAACAATTGGCGGCGTGTACAATGTACGTACAACGTACAACCGAAGTTATCGCGATCGTGTCTTGGAAGAGGATAAATAAGAGGGTCATAATCTCAAAGGGTTTAGAATCGTAGTAAATTTCGCAGCTGACATTAACGTAGAAGTCGCGTGCCACGTTTGGAACGTGGCGTTATTAAACTGCTGTGTCGAACCAAGCTTCCTTCGTAACGTTGCCACGTACACCGGCACGGACTATATAAAGTATATAAACTAGTACCAATTAATTTTCTTTTCCTTTTTTTTTTTTTTTCTCGCCTTTCCACGACACGTTCCTTTAATACACCGAAAATCGAGAAACGTTCTCGCTAACAGCCTCTAACCTTTTTTCCATTCGAAACGAGGATTCGACGAAGAACGGAATAAATTTGGAGGGACGAAAATTTCCTCGACTTTAGTTTCCTCGAAAAGTAAAGGGGACGCGCAAACGCTACATTCCTCGAGCAAAAAGCAAAAGTTTCACCTCTGATCCACAATTTTCGAAAGGAACTGCGTGTCGCGTGTTCTGATCCTTAACGAGACAGATTCTTTCCGCTTTTCCCCGAGACGTTAACTAATTAAGACGCGATACAATTAATTTTCCAGCTTATTAAATAATTAACTCGTATCTCGAGGTCTGCGTCTTGCCTCCAGAAACGTTCGAAACCGTCTCCTCCTCCTCCTCCTCTCCTTTCAGACTTTGTGTCTCTCCCTCGCCGTTTGCCGAGAAACACCGAAAACCAACCCGTCCTTTCCCTCGACCACCCTTCCTCCAACTTGGGCTTTTCTACCCGGCAACTCGATAATCCCGGCTCCGGTAATTATTTAAAGTTTTCGACGGGACCCAGAGCGGAACAGAGGACCAGAAGCGGAATACCTTTCGTCTTTGCGGTAATTTACTTTTGTTTCTTTCCACCCCCGCTCCACTTTACTCCAACCTTCACTTCCGCCCCATTTTCGATGGATTTCTATCTCCACCTCTCGATTCATTCACGACCACCCAAACGAACCGCTCTCTTCCCTCTCTCTCTCTCTCTCTGGCTCCGGCGAAAAGAGCGTGAAACGATCTTCCCGTAACCTCGAGCTCTTCTTTTAAGCGACCGTGCGCGTTTCCACGAGGAGGAGGAGGAGGAGGAAGGAGGCGGGAAGAGAAATATTTTTCCCAGGATATTTTTCGAGGCGAGCGCATTTACGCGGTATGGTCCCGTAATAATTTCCATCGTGACTCGCTCCGCGCTTATTGTTTTATACTTGTACGCGCGTAAAGCGGATAAGAAGGAAGATAAGGGCGGAGGGCAAAAAAGTAATGGAGAGAACGTCGTCGTGGCGTTGCACCGTCACGCTGGAGCGCTCCGCTTTTAACGTAACGCGCGTAAAACGTGACGAATGCGCCTTCTGCCTTTTTCTTTCTTTCTCTCTTCTTGTTTTCTCGCTCCGCGGTGGAACACCGAGATCGAGAATCGAAAGGAGAACCATTCGCCGACTTTTATCCCCTTCTCCCCTCAACAATCGGAGAAGAATCTTCATTCGATCGAATTGCGTTTTATCATCCGGACGAAAGGGAAAAGGCATCCCTTCGCTGTGTATTCGCATACGAATGAATCGATCGATCGCCCGATAAATAATCGCGCGAATTATTTGTTAATATCCATTTGTTTGCCGGTTGACCGAAACGATCGAGTTAAATAACCTCGAAGCCGCGTGTTTGCGTTTTCGATACACGGCAGAAATATATATTGAACCGCGGGTGTAACCGATGATGCATCTGCGGTCGGAAACGGTTCTATGTCTCCATTTGTCATCAACCCGTCGGAAGGGAAGGTTCCGCGAATATACGGGTCAGCGTGTATAATAAGAATTCGCTTGACGATCTTTCGTTTAATAAATTGGGTGAATTTATAACAAACATTTGTCAATTATAATTTGTCAATTATATCAGACAGGATATTGGATTCGATTAATTGGATTATTATTATTATTATTATCCTGTTGCAGATAGGAAACGTAATAAGACTACACGCGAGAGTTTTATTAAGAATGATTAAATAAAGTTTGACACAATAGATTCCATCCAAGAGGCAATTTTTATTACCAATGTAACAATCGAAGTATTCAAGTATAATTAATTTTATAATTTGATAAAATAATATCGTTCGCGTCCCCTTCTCTTCTCCGGTTTTCATTTTCATTTATCCAACGGATTCGATTTGCTCGATTTATTCAAAAACCTCGTTCGGTCGGTTAATTAGATCCGCGTGGGGATTATCCAGGGGATTGCGCGTCCCCTAATTTTCCACGTCGAGAGAGAGAGAGAGAGAGGGAGAGGTTCGTCGAATCATCAATTGTCAACGGTCTAATATTTGTCATAAAGTGAATCTTCCTCTTCCCTCCCAGGACGAATCGTTTAGGAGAGGGGTAACTTTTACGACGGAGGGGGAGGGGAGGAGGATCTCTAGCGTGCGGTTGGCAATTAAAGAAAAGCATGGCCGTCTTACGCCGTCGTAGCGAGTCGGTTTCTCGGGAAATGGTAGCGCGGGCAATGGCCCATGCCCCTCGCTGCAGAAATTGGAGACCGTTCCGTTAACGACAGCTTTCCTCACTTCGTCACTTGAAAGTTTAATGAGGCGAGGTCTCCGCCCAAGGTCTCCTTTCCAAAAAAGTAAACTGTTGGTTTATACGCCGGTAATAATTTTTCGTAGTAACGGGTCGACCTGATCTCCCAGCCATCTACCTCCATTCCCTTTTCAATTTCTCTCGGATACGTGTGTCTTTCCTTTCCGGGAGAAATTTTAGAATATCGAGAGGCCGAGAGGCTCGAGTTAAATTTAATTGGCCCCGTTGGCAATTAGAAGATTGGATTTTTCAGGTTGGATTCAATTAGATAGATTATATTTAGAGTTATCAACGATTTCTTATCGCCTTTGGCTCTTACTTGAGTCCGTTGGCTTCTCCAAAAGGGTTTTATATACCCGTTGTTACTCAACGGGTTCCGCAACAGTTGATTGGATGTAATCCAATCCGGTGCGAATGCTCGTGCTTTCTTTGAGACTACGTGCTCATCGCGTACTGTATCTTGACGGAAGGATAGGAGGATATTTATTAAATTAGAAGGGAG